TGGTCCTCTTGTAGGTACTCTCACTCCATCTCTCATTCCTCTTATCTCTCAATCACAAACCTCTTGAGATGCCTGGGATGTCCTTGCTAACACATATGCAAGGCCTTCTCATGGGTACATCAAACAGATTAAGGAACAAATCAAGCATGCAACCAAGGGTATGTAGTCAATTTCTGATTATATGTAACCTATTAAAGGTCGATCAGATGAACTCGCAACACTTGGCAAACCCATGGATCATAAGGATCTCATTGAGAAAATTCTAGATAGTCTTGATAATAATTATAAGCCTATTGTTGATATTATCAATGGCCCTGACACACCGATTTCATTTGATGGCTTGCATGAGAAATTGATTAGTAGAGAACTTTCACTGCGTCGTCATCATGCCAATTCCTCACCACTCCCTACTTCCGCTAATCTGCTTATTTCTCAATTCAATTTGGGATACCCTGGCAACCGTACTCAGGGCCTACCATAGATGCACAAATCTCCTCCGTGGGCCAATGCTCCTATCTCAAGATCTATGACTTGTCCTCCACCTTGACCATTCTTGGGTCGTTGTTAGTGGTGTCGAGTTCGAGGACACACCGTTTCACAGTGCTCTGTGTTTTCGTTTGATGAATCCGAACCTGCAGCCACCTTTACCTTTACCTTTGAGGTTATCTCCACAACGGTAAAAACATTCTCAAGCTCTATGGCAGCCTCGGGCCAACTTTGCAACTGCTAATCCCAATGACAATTCTAGTTGGCTTCTTGATAGTGGAGCTTTGCACCATGTTACCACCAACCTGAGTAATCTACCCATTCATACTCCTTATGAAGGATCTTATGACACTGTGATTGGAGATGGCAAGGGTCTCTCTATCACCCATATCGGTTCAAAATCTCTATATACATCATCTCATACCTTTTCCTTAAATAATGTTCTTTGTATTCCCACTATGAAAAAGAATCTCATCCCTATCTCTCAATTTTGTCAATCTAATAATACGTCTATTGAGTTCTTACCTAATTCTTTTCTTGTGAAGGATCTTCGTACGGGGCCAACACTTTTGTAGGTCAGACTAAGGACAGTGTGTATGAGTGGCCGGTATCCCATGTTAAGTCATCTCTAATACTGGCTTTCTCAAGTGTCAAGACCGCTTCGTCTGCATGGTATAATCGTCTAAGAAATCCATCATCTTCTATTTTTAAGCATATTGCTTCAAAATTTCATCTAGAATTGTTGAGTCCTCTCAATTTAAATTTCAATTCTAATTCCTGTCTATGTAATAAAAGTCACAAGTTACCTTTCTCCATTTATTCATTTGTTACTTCTTCCCCTTTTGAAGTTATATTCTCTGATGTGTGTCTCTCCTATTTTCTCTGTTGATGATTTCAAATACTATGTGATTTTTGTTGAGCACTTCACTAAATATATATGGCTATATCCACTTAAACGAAAATCTCATGTACATGATGTTTTTGTCGAATTCAAATCCTTTGTAGAAAATTGCTTCAATCGAAAAATCATTATCTTTTATTCAGACAATGGAGGGAAATATCGAGCACTTTCCTCATTTCTAGCTTCCAATGGCATTACTTGTTTAACTTTTCCTCCTCACACACCTGAACACAATGGATAATTAGAACGTCGTCATCGTCATATTCTTGAAACCTGTCCATCCCTTCTCTCTCATGCATCCTTGCCTCTCTCTTATTGGTCTTATACTTTTACCACTGTAGTTTATCTCATCAATCGTGTACTTATTCCCACACTTCAGTTCTTCTCCCCTATGCCAAACTCTTCGATACTTCTCCCAATTACTCTAAACTTCGTAGTTTTGGCTGTCTTTGTTATCCTTGTCTTCGATCATACTCTCCCACAAACTTGCTCCTCGTTCATCTCCTTATGTGTTTCTAGGTCATTCATCCACTCAAAGTGCTTATCTATGCCTTGATCCCACTCCTATCGTGTCTACACGTCGCGCCATGTCAAGTTTATAGAAACCATCTTTCCATTCACTTCTCTTCACTCTCACATAGATCATCCTTCCTCTCAAACGCTCGCTCATTGGTGTCCCTCTATGTTTGTTCTTTCGGCCATTGATACATCACTCTTGGTATCGTCCTCGACTCCCTTTATGGATCCTAATACCATCCCCCCCATCTCTCCAAACCAGAACCTCAGTTCTACGACACCTTCCTCTCCATGCCCCAACATCAAAGTTCAGAACCTTAGCGTCACGACCCCTCTTCTCGTGGCCCTCAAGTTTTACAAGAAAATGCCACGACATCCCCTTATTCGTGACATGAACCTCAACCCTTTACCAACCCCACATCACTTGAACCATCTCTTCCCTCATTTCCTCGAGTTATTGTCACCCACTTCAAAAACAATATCCACAAACCCCACACTAAATTAAATCTCACTGCTCAACTTGCCCTATCCACTACTTTGACCCAACCTCGGTGACTCAGGCCATCAAAAATCCCTAATGGCATCAAGCTATGTCTACTGAATATGATGCTCTTGTGGGACATGGGACCCAGTTCCCTCTTATCCAACCAGAATTTAGTTGGTTGCAAGTGGATTTTTCGAACTAAACATTTATTTGATGGCTCTGTTGATCGGTACAAAGCTCATCTCGTGGCCAAGGGCTTTCATCAGTGTTGTAGCATGGATTATCATGACACTTTCAACCATTTATTAAGCTAACCACTGTTCGTCTGGTTCTTAGTCTCACTGTCAGTCGTGGTTGGTCTCTTAGGTAACTTGATGTCAACAATGTATTTCTCCAAGGTACTCTCTCTGAGGATGTATACATGACTCAACCATAGGGATTTATTGATCGTGATCATCCTCGTCATGTCCGTAAACTTCGTAAAGTTATCTATGGCCTTAAACAAGCTCCCCATGCCTGGTATCATGAGTTGTACCAATTTCTTCTCACTTTTGGCTTCACCAATTCTCATGCTAACACCTCACTATTTATCTCCAACACCGATGGTAATTTGATGTATCTTTTAGTATATGTTGATCACATTATTATTACTGGTGCTAGTAAGGGTGCTGAGCAAAAAATTATCCATCTCCTTGCTAGCCGATTCTCTCTCAAAGACTTGGACCTTTGGCTTACTTCTTTGGAGTTGAAGTGATGTCTCATGCCCAAGGTTTGCTTTTGTCTCAATGTAAGTACATCAAGGATTTGCTTACTTGAACACGCATGATGGATGCCAAGTCTGTGTCTACACCTCTTTCCATCGATCCACTACTTACTCTTCACTCTAGAACTCCACTCTCTGATCTCTTTGAGTATCGGACTATTGTTGGTAGCCTCCAGTACTTGTCTTTCACTCGCCTTGACATTGCCTACACGGTAAATAAGTTGTCTCAGTTTATGCGTCATCCTACTAGTGACCACTGGACTGTAGTTAAGTGCCTACTCCGTGCACTCTTGAACATGGTATTGTTTTATATCGACATTCTGGCACAGCTCTCTATGCATTCTCTGATGCCGATTGGGCAGGTAACAAGGATGACTACATTTCCACCAGTGCTTACATTTTTTATCTTAGAGATCTAAGAAGCAGCGTACTGTGGCTCGCTCCTCTACTAAAGCTGAATATCACTCTGTTGCAACCACTGCAACTGAACTTTGTTGGATTTGTTCTCTTCTCAGTGAACATAGTGTCTCCTTTTCCAACAATCAGTGATCTACCGTGATAACGTTGGTGCTACGAATTTGTGTTATAATCCGATTTTCACTCTCGCATGAAACAGTGGCTTTAGACTATCATTTTATTCGTGAACAAGTTCAGGTGCTCTTTGGGTGACTTCTATTTCTTCTACTAATTAGCTTGCAGATACTCTTACCACACCGCTTCCCCGTACTCGGTTTCTCTTCTTGCAAAAGAAGATTGGACTCTTCTCACGGAGCTCCATCTTGCGTGGGCATGATAAAGGATATTCCTAAATTATATTTTCCCATCTATAGGGAGATTTGCTTCCCTATATATAGTCAATTAGTTCCTAATTTCTAGTTGCCTTCTATTTATACTTATCTAGAATATGATTACAATTGTACTCTATATATACTGTCTGTTGCACTGAAAGATAATACCATAATTTTATTCTTATCTCAAAAC